GCAGCCAGTGCAGCTCGCGGAGGATAGGGGTGACGTGGGTGTACCGGGGTGCACCCACAATCGCTCGCGCGGCTGCATTCTGGACAAGCTGAAGTCTCCGAATGCTTTGTGTAGATTACACAAAGGGTACAGAAAGTTATTTTCCCACTTTCAATGAACATGCCAGACTCTGTATTTTTATCAGATGAGTTTCCTGCAAGCGTCCTGCTTTCAAATGCGGAATTTTTTACTCACTCTGCTCTTCTGTAGAAGTACTGTTTCCATCCTGCCTTGCTTTGAATACCCTAATGGTGCAGAGGAACACAATTGTTTCATTCACTGAATATGGCATGCTGACATCCAGCCGGCTTTCCTGGTCACTAATACCATATCATCTTGCCTATGGGTTCTGGCTTGCACCCTTGTGCTTCCTACTTAAAGTGTGCTCATGTTGGCTGATCCTGTTGTGGTTACGCATTTCTCTTCCTTTTGGTCTTGCTCTTCTCACAAACTGTGTGCTTATATTTTTCTTGAGGCCCAGGAATGATGGAATGATTACTAATAAGCACTTCTCTTTTTTTTTCTTTTGTTGTTTTTCTTGCTGACGCAGTTGACCGGACAAACTGTGAGTCTTCCACAAAAAGGGGTGATGGTGGTGATAATGGTGATTGGGCTGGGATGAGAGAGAAGAAGCCAAACAGTCATTGCTTTGCTGATATGAATAGCGCATAGCTATGCTTTTATACTCTTGTCTGCAGTGCAAAGATATGACATTATTCTTGGATAGGGTGAGGTCTTCGAAGTATGGGACCGGTGGTCCCTTCTGTGTTGGATTTTTTGGATTGCTCATTTTCCGTCCCACCTTTTCTGTTTCTTAGTACAACAGCCACCTGAATTCACAACACAACCAGACCAGGAGATTGTTTTATACCCCACTGATGAGATTATCCTGAAATGGGAGGCTACTGGAAATCCCTCTGTGACGTGAGTGTGGACAAGCTTCAATATTGTTTCCCCTTATCCTGGCTCCGTTCCAAATGGAAAACATTTAGTGGGAATAGCAATAGCAATAGCAGTTAGACTTATATACCGCTTCATAGGGCTTTCAGCCCTCTCTAAGCGGTTTACAGAGTCAGCATATCGCC